TGTGTCTGTGTGTCTGTGTATAAACAAATGTTGCGGGCTGTGTGTCATCCAAAGCCCCAGCTTGGAGCGGTGAAGAAGATGGAGAAAGAAGGAAAGAGAGAGGGGGAAGCAGCAGAGTTGTGGCAAGCCATAATCTTTCTCCCCCTTTCTCATCATCCATCTGATGTGCTTTGCTCTCTTCTGCAATAAGCTCATGTCCCTGAGAAAAATGCCTGGAAAAATAAAAGATTCAATAGGAAGAGCTTAAACGGAGACAACTTTCAAATCTGCTCAAACTTGCCTTGTACCCATGCAGATTGGACGCCTGCTGTTTTGTGATGGTTTGATTTTTTGGCAGGAATATATGAATTATAGATCAGCTTATATTTGCAGATCTCATGTGGACAGGGGAGAGAGGGAAAGCATTTTTAAACCCAATCACATGTTTGCAATGTTAAAGACAGATAAACCTCTTATTCGGCTTGGTCAGTCACGTTTTTCAAATCAGAAACAATTGACATCTAGCTGAATCCAAAAAACCCCCCAAACTATATTGCATGGCGAACACAGAACACGGTGTTTAGGATGTAGAGTAACGGATGGTGCAATCCTGTTTGTTGATAAACCAAATCCTCACTTAGAAGAGAAATCCATGCACTGCCTCTGCCAGTTCAGCTGGAGGGCTCTGGATCAGCCTGATTACTCTGGGCTGACAGCAGCAGATCGAAGTAATCTTCAAATTCTACATAAGTATGTACACGAAACAAACATATAGCACATTTAGCTGCAGTGAGCTAATATGAGCAGTGCACATTTCATTAGTATTTGTGGGAGGGCAACAGATCTACATATGTACACAGTGAGAGTCAATGCTCTGCAAAAGTGAATGGCTGTCTGCAAACTCTGATGCCTGTGCAAGCATGTTAGTGAAACGGGGCATGCTCGGTTTTATAATCAGGATTCAGGGATCACCTTTACTCCCTGTCATCTGTCTCACCTATCCCAAAGGTACCAAACAGGGAGGTAAGCAATGGAAGTACAGATGGGAACAAAGAGATAGTGAAACCCACAAGGGATAGAGTTGGAGAAATGAGAAAATAAATGAATTGAAACTGAAGATTTCTTGGAATTTACCCACTGTTACTATAACAGTGCTCCTTTAAGTAATCTTACTTCTCTGTCAGAGTAGATAATGTGCCTTGTGTAGCTGTTGAATAAAACAGAACAGGTAAAAAGGTCATTTCTTTAAGAAGCTCTTTAAAATATGATTTTACAGACGTTTCGGAGTATCTGCTTTGTGCATCTTTGATATTTTAAACATTGTATACACGCACCGTGAGTGCACGGGTGTGTGAACTACACACAGTGCCAGCATGAGCGCACAGCAGGTCTCATTTCCTCATTCTCCGGTCAGACACTGGTTTCTCTTTTGAGAGCGGAGCCCAAAATGACATCAGTTTCCGCCAAGGCACAATTCGTCACCATGGCACCGCACGAAGACATTTTTGACCCAGAGGAGGAGGAGCATCATGCTTGACACATTTATAGCAGAGGTCTTTGCTCCTCTCTTCCCTCTTCTCTAACCCCCCCTCCCTCCCCTTTTTTTCTCAATTGATGTTTGCCCAGCCGCCCGCTCTGTTTACCGCATCATCAAAGAGCTTCTCTGACTTCAATGGCTCCAGTTCTCTGACCTGACCCACTCTCTTTGTGCATTTCAACTTCAGGGTCTCTCTTCCATGTACTCTTGCACTGATACATATTTGGGATCTTTGAGTCAATTTAACATCTAGCTTCTCAAGACTTCTATCTTAGACTTCTTCCCTCCCCCACTTTTGATTTCAGTGCTTGTCAAACGGACTCCGAGGGCAGAATGCCTGTTGAAGAAGTGACCACCCACTGGGCTTTGTCTTACTCTTTGCCACGACAGACAGACGGCCAGTTTACATAGAAAGAATATCTCAGATAAAGAGAAATCCAAAATACTAAAAAAAAATCAACCTCTACAGTTTGAAGATTCATATTTCATTTAACTGCCATTATGTCAGGAGGTTTTAAAACAAGGTAGAAGATGCAGGCCCTTTATATGAGGCAGCTCTGGCTGAGGAAGTAGAGCGGGTCGGGTCGATTGTTCGGTCCCTGGCTACTCTAGTCTGCATGTCAACACATTAGCATTCACACAATCACATTCAAATGCATCTGTGTGAGTATTTGTGTAATGCTGGACAAGGTGCTTACGTATGTATGACTGAATGAGGCTTGTTGTAAAAAGCACTATATGAATACCTGTCCATTTACCATTTATGGTATTGGCAAAACACATAAAATAAACATTTATGAATAATAATTTAGTCATTAAAAATATTAACTGTATTTAATAAATAGCAAAGTATTAAAGAGAAGTATGAAGAGGAGAAAATAAAATGTCCTGCAGTGGATACATCTACGTTGCTTCCCGGGTGGCAGCAGGTGAAAAAGCTGTGGTTGGGTTCAGTATGGTCTGGTATTGCTGATGCTCTGCAGACTGGTGCAAATTATGTCCTTGGCAGTTTTAATCACCCTCTGACCACACTTAGTTAGCTGGTTACATTAATCTGAGTCATTTCTCAGATTTATTCACCACAGGGAGAGGTGTATGGTTACCATACATCCTGAAACCCAGGAAGCTGAACTGTTTGCCTGCTCCGCTCAGCAACCGATGTAAACAGTGGTGTGTGTCTTGTCTAAAATCAACAGTTTAAATAGTTTACTTAAACTGGGCTTACCATTGAATAGTTGTGGAACAAAAACATTTGTTTTTGACTGTCACTGTTTTCATATGGGTTTCCTGGCAGCCAGATAGAAGCCAGATTCTCCTGTTAATGAATTATGTTTTGAATACAAGGAAATTGTGGGAAATACTTGAGCTATGTGTTATAATTTTATATCATATCATGGCATGGCAAAGTCATGTTAAGTTGTGTAGCATTTTGCTTAACATTTTCCTTTCCCGTGTACAAATCTGTGTTTTCCTGATATGTTATATCGCACGAAAAACTCATGTAAGAGAAAACCTTTTTTTGTGACTAATTGTTTATTTTTTACCTTTGATATGACAATTATAATACAAAACCACTGACAGTCAGTAAAGATTAAAACTAAACAATCCCTCTGATCCTATACAGTATGTAAAGTACTGATAATACTTCATGATTTATGGCATAAAAGATTCACATAATGTACTGTAATTAAAACTGTTTGCTGCGAATGTATTAATATTGTCCAGAATATATAAGAACACACTCTCGGGTATAACGTTCACTCCATCTCTAGCAAAATCTAGACTGAAAAATACACTGAAAAAGTGTCACTATTTTCTCCTGGGCTTTCATGCATTTGTGCATGGCAAATTCATTGATCAGTTCCTTTGAAAATGAAGACATCATCTGCCTAGAGTTTTGCCTCAGGCTAAAAATAGGGTATTGCTGCTCCTGATCAACCTTATTTCTCTCTTTGCTTTTGTTCTGACACACAC